AATAGGGGGCCCCATGAGATGCCCCTGGTACCTTTTTCATAGGCTTTTTTGAGTTTGGGCAAGGACACAGGGCCCCATGATGATCCCCTATTGCCCGGGGCCCCATGAGTTGTCAGTCCGCCCTTTGCTCAGGATACAGAAAGATGGATATGAACTTTTATGAAATTACTTTTCTTATCTGGAAGGTATAATTTGGGTAACCTTAGTTAGGATGAATTAGAGCTATGTATGGAACCATCTTTGGGAGACTATGCTACAACTTTGTAATTGCCAATAACTTTGTAATTTTGTAAGAGAGGACAGACGGGTCTAACTTTTTAAACGTTTGTACATATGCCTGTTAGAGGCAAGATAACCCTGTAAAGAATATTACCAATGTTTGTAAATGCTTTAAAAAAAACATTATTTGTATGTTATTGTTAGAGCTTGTAAATATATATATATATATATATATAATAAAGGAAACCATTACAAATTCAGGCTTTGATTCCGGTTCAGTCGTGTTGCACATTGGCTAGAACTTATATCTTTACTTTCAATGCAAAACTGCTAGGTCTGAATAACTAAAAGAAAAGTGCACATGGTTAAGATTTTATCTTAGTAATCTTCTTGGAGGAGTTGCTGGAAATGATGGGCTCTCCTATGTTTCCAACGATGACCCTGCCCTGCTTGGACCCAACAATACACATCAACAACAACACATCAACAGCGATTTTTGGGCTTTATTAAAAACAAACCCTGTATAAAGGTATTGATTAAACAGGTTGGACAAAAGTAAAGCAACTGAACTGATTATTAGTTCAATAACACACTGGTGCTCATTCTCTTTCTTACCTGTAAGAGGTATTGTGTTAAATTCAGAGAATGAAATTGCAAGTGAGAATAGAAAATATCTAGGAGCGTATTTTATATACAATAATAAAACTAAACAAATTAAATACCTCAGTCAACAAAATATCACATTATTGCCACTAGGGGACGCTGACAATCTTAGAAAATAAACAAATTGGGCAAATTACAGTGAAGATTTGTGACAGCTGTGTGAATGATTGACATATTAGCATAGCAGTTTTTTTTTCTATTATAAATAGATTCTTTATTATAACCTAATGTCTCTGAACTAAAGTAAAAGACATGTGGCTAACTACCGGGGGTCTAACTACAATAAAACAGACCCCAGCTAATCTCTCACTAGTGGGTAAATCAGCCAATGAGTCAGCCGCTGGTGGGGCACCTTAAACTAAATTATGAATGTGTCAACCTTCAAGCAGGGGTGGACTGACAACTCATGGGGCCCCCGGGCAATAGGGGATCATGGGGCCCCTGTGTTCTTGCCCAAACTCAAAAAAGCCTATGAAAAAGGTACCAGGGGCATCTCATGGGGCCCCCTACTGACCCCGGGCCCTTGGACAGTGCTCGAGTTTCCATATGGTCAGTCCGCCCCTGCCTTCAAGTGAAGGTTTTTGTAATCCATAAGGTATATTCAAAAAGTGTACAGTCCAACAGATAGCAAGAGGGTGATGAGCTTCCCTTTAACCTCCCTAGCAGTCTGATTATGTCAGTATTTCTGTGCTCAAAGCGGTACATTATTTTCAATGGAAATATGTTTTTTTTTTATTGTAGGCCTGTAATTTTTAGGAATAACTCACTGAAATCTGTCCGAACAAGAGTCTAGTAAACATCCCGGGTATGATACAATTTGAAACACAAAATCATAAATTATAATATAATAAATAATTATAAAAAATAATAATATAATAATAATACATTTAATTCAATAATATAATCAAACCAAAAACACTGAAATTTGAAATATAGCGCCAAGTTCGCACATCACTGAGCAAAGTCGCAAAATCGTTTTCAGTGTCTGATGAGGAATTTCCCCCACGAATCATCACTCAATTCTGCAAGTGGTTCTGATTTACTATCGCTGTTCTCTAGCTGGTCTAAAACCGCTTTTGACCTAAAGAGACGTTTTTTGGACGCCATGGACGTTTCTCAGTTTCCAGGCAGAAAGAACAGTAAACATGCAGGCAGGGCGCAGGACAAAGCACTCGGGACAAAATGTATGTGAAATGGTTTGATACAGTAATGGAATACTATGAGATTTTAGTGTATTGAGTGAATGTCACTTTTAACATTTTTGAATTTCGCTCTGGCTCGTCCCCTGTACGTCCCGACGCTCGCAGGGACCGGAACCCGGAAGACAGATGCCGGCATCGATTGGAGGACATGGCTGGGAACGCTGCAGGGGGGACATCGCGGGAGCGCAGGACAAGGTAAGTGCTGGAGGGAATCCCTGAGCAATGCTGCAAGGTAATCTCGAGTGTAGCTCGGGGTTACCGCTTTTGATACTGAAAGTTAACCCCGAGCTACACTCGGGAATACCGCCAGGGAGGTTAAAAGAGCTCCACCAAACAGTCCCCTCAAACAGGTATAAGTAACACTCGTCTAATGATTGTCCACTCAGGTTTGTTTTCTTGTGTGCTAGAGGGAGGTGGGAGAGACAGCCCACAATGTGTCCTACAAGTTTCCCTTGAGGCTTCTCCTCTTCCGGTCCACCTAATAGCTGCCAGGCACAGGGGAGATTAGGCAATTCAGTTTTTGGGGCTTTCACTTGTGCCTGGTTTGTCACTCACCCCTCAGCAGCCTGTACACACCCCTCTCATTTCTTCCCAGCCACGTCTATCTCCAGCAGGTGGGCTGGTGGGCTTAAATCCCCTAGGTCATCAATATGATCAATCATATCCCTCCACCTTTTTCCCCTGGTTGTGCTTGTCATCACCAGTGTGGGATCAGAAACTGGTTGTGGCAGAGCCACAAAGATGGCAGACCTGCACGGCTTCCATTCTAAAGTGGCCACCAGCCAAGCTTCATGAGTGTCAATAAAATGTGACTTTTGTATCAACAATTAAATTTCAAGCTAATTTTCATCCAAAACATTTTTTTAGTTCTGAATAGAATGGGAAAGGAGTTGCAATCTCTAAAAATGGTTGTAAACCTCTGAAATAAAAAATGAGCAAATCATATCCAATCCAAACTTAGCGTGATTTCTTTCTGCTGACTCCAAGGGATCTAACTGTACATGTTACCCTATCAGACTGTGTAGAGGGGGGGTGAGTCTATTTCCTCCACTCAGGTCTTAGATTACACTCAGCTCCCTGTTTTATGCTGTGCACAGTGTGGTATTAGATCTCTGCCTCCTGCCCTGCTGTCTATTCTGGACTTTTAATAAATGTAGAGGAGAGATGAGTCCAGATAAACATGTACAATTTTTGTAGGAGAATTAGTTTCATCTTTCATCACCTGAGGATAGTCACTTCAGTGGGTAGATGTAAGGGTTTACAGCCAGTTTAAGGCACTTATCTCCTATCTCCAAATTGGGGACATGGAAAGTAAAAAAAACCCTACAGATGTTATATCCTCAAAAATTTTTTAACTTTGGTAAAGTAGACATGGCATTGGATATATTTCTAATGTTAAATGCAGGTATGCTAAGTAATGTGAATGTGTAACACTTACAAGTATAAATTACCTTTCACAATACCCCTCCAAACAATGTACTGATTTACTAAAACTGGAGAGTTCAAAATCTGGTGGCGTTCGCATAGAAACCAAAAGAAATCAGCTTCCAGGTTTTTTTGTTATCGCTTAATTGTATGACTAACTAAAGTTAGAAGCTGATTGGCTGCCATGCACAGCTGCATCAGATTTTGCACTCTCCAGTTTTAGTAAATCAACCCCAAGGTCTTCATCTGTTTTTTTTCTCTCCAGAAAAATGGAGCCATCTTTGTTTGGTCATCATCAATGATCAGCATCTACTTTCTGGACTGAGAGCTGAATCAGAAATGATGCAATCCTGTAATTTCCTTGGCTTGTGGGTTCAGCACCCTCCTAGATAGGTGCTAGGTAGGGCGGACTGACAACTCATGGGGCCCACGGGCAATAGGGGATCATGGGGCTCCAACTTAAATCAAGGAATGCGCTAAAACCACAAACTATTCCTAATTTAGTGTAGAAACATTAGTGAAAAAGATATATATATCTATTATCAATTAATATCAAAATTATGTGCAAAACATAAGTAATTTAAATAATTAAATTTGTGAATATAAAAAAAAAAAAATGTCCAATTCTGAATTTCTTCAAATGTCCAAACAAATCCTTTTTCAAATTCAGGTGCTCTCAAAGAAACTGTGCCAAAATCCACCACCAAAAGTAAAGTTGGGTAACTCACCAGAGCTCCATGCTGATCAATCTCTAGATCAGCAAAAAACGCTTTTTGCTCTGGGAGCAGATGCAATGAATCAACTTCTCAGGTGTGATGATCAATAGCTACACATTCATCCATAAGGTAGGTATCCACCACTCAATATAATGGTTCCAGGAGCATTATATCACTCTCTCTTTTTTATATCTCTCCACCGAGGTCATGTTTGGGAATGAAAGAGAAAAATCATGGTGCAGCCAGTTTTTTTATAAAAGTATCCAACAATTTAATAAAGATTTACACTCACAAAATGGGGATGGCCCCTTCCTGTTCCAACATGACTGCGCACCAGTGCACAAAGCAAGGTCCATAAAGGCATGGGTGAGCGAGTTTGGGTTGGAGGAACTTGACTGGCCTGCAGAGAGTCCTGACCTCAACTGATAGAACACCTTTGGGATGAATTAGAGTGGAGACTGCGAGCCAGGCCTTCTCATCCAACATCAGTGCCTGACCTCACAAATGTGCTTCTGGAAGAATGGTCAAACCCAGGGGCGGACTGACAACTCATGGGGCCCCCGGGCAACAGGGGCTCAAAAGTTAGACCCATGTGTCCTCTCGTACAAAATTACAAAGTTATTGGCAATTACAAAGTTGTAGCATAGTCTCCCACCTCCCAAAGATGGTTCCATACATAGCTCTAATTCATCCTAACTAAGGTTACCCAAATCATACCTTCCAGATAAGAAAAGTCAATTCATAAAAGTTCATATCCATCTTTCTGTATCCTGACCAGGGGCGGACTGACAACTGATGGGGCCCCGGGCAATAGGGGATCATGGGGCTCCTGTGTCCTTGCCCAAACTCAAAAAAGCCTATGAAAAAGGTACCAGGGGCATCTCATGGGGCCCCCTACTGACCCCAGGCCCTCAGGCAGTGCCCGAGTTTCCAAATGGTCAGTCCACCCCTGGTGCTAGGTTAGGTAAATTTAGTTCTTAGCTCTACTGTGATCATTTTAGCTGCGTGTGATTATTTTGGGCTGTTCTGTGTGTCACTGGTTGCAGGTTTGACTGGAAGATATTGGAAGGAGACATCCAATTATCCAAGGACATTAATGGCGTACAGACTGGGGCCTGATATCTCAGTTGCTGTGTGCTGCTGCTATCCCTCTTGCATCAGAGTCAGCTTGTACTAAAAGTGAACATTGTTCAAGATGTGTAGCTCAGCCCATTATTTGCTGCTGCAAGAACTGTGCTAAGAACCTCTAGCAGAAAGATAGGTGTCCTCAAGGTACTTCTTAAAGCGGCGTTCCACTCAAAAGCAGAAGCTCTGCTTATTTGCCTCCTTCCCCCCTCCAATGCCATATTTGGCACCTTTTGGGGGGGAGCAGATACCTGTTTTTGACTGGTACCCGCTCCCACTTCCAGCTTAGTTTGCCGCTGCAAAGTGACCTGGAAGTTCAGCCCTCTCCTTCCTCCTGCTGTCTCCTAGGAATTTTCACAGGTCCCAGAAGAATGCTGGACCAATCAGGAGGTGCAGCTCAACTTGAACATGTGCAGTGGCACCAGGCTGTGAAGCTACAGGCTCTCACAGCCTGGTGCCCACAGTTAAGATGAAAGAAAGAGCGCACAAACCTTGCGCATTACCTCAATAAATAGTGACTAATTTTATTAATAAGGAAATATACTCACAAAGTGATGGTATAACAGGCATAAGTAAACATAATCCAAACAGGGTTACAGGTAAATCAAAAAAGGGGGGGGGTGAAGGCTAACGCGTTTTGACTAAACAGGCTGAACTGCTGTAATACTGACACTCAGTGGCTGAATATCTCCTTGCCATGGGAACTCTGCCATACTGAAGTTTCTATCTGCCAAACCTAGCTCTGATGAAGAAGGGAGCACCCTTCGAAACGTGTTAGCCTTCACCCCCCTTTTTTTTATTTACCTGTAACCCTGTTTGGATTATGGTTACTTATGCCTGTTATACAATCATTTTGTGAGTATATTTCCTTATTAATAAAATTAGTCACTATTTATTGAGGTAATGCGCAAGGTTTGTGCGCTCTTTCTTTCATCTTCCTCTACAGTTTTATTAAGCTTCCCCAGCTTCAAGATAGAGCTGCACAACCTCTGATCACCAGTGGATGAATACACAACACGCTGCTTGTCACTAACGCACGCCTGTTTGATCTGAGTCCTTGAGCGCAGGAGATAATGGATCTTTGCCCACAGTTAAGATGTCGGCACCGTGGAGGAGAGAAGGAGAGAAGGGACGGCGCGGGTGAGTTCATCGCTAGACCCTGGGACAGGTAAGTGTATGTTTATTTAAAGTCACCAGTTTTTGTAGCTGCTGACTTTTAATAAACACAGAAACGGCTGGAACTCCGCTTTCATATTGCTGAGGTATGCCTCGGTTACCCTACACCCATCCAAGTTCAAGTTTTCCAATAAAGCATAAACAAGAATACCCCCAGGCAGATCTTTGAACCGGAGGAGTGATTGAGACTGTGTGCCTGGCTGCTAGTGTATGTATTGGGGAAAGAACCTTGGGACTAAAACAGCAGGCCCTTTAGGGGTGTGAACACTACATGCAGTTATTGTCTGCATTCTTAAATACCTGGCACAGATCAACTCATGCTACAATGATAACTGTGGAAGCTAAGATTGAGGGAATGCTTCCTCCTGCCTGCAGCAAACTGATGGCATCATGTCAGCCTAGGCAAAGTCACTGGATTGGAGCTCAAAGACAGCTTGTTAAAGTGAAACTTTATATTTACCTTCTCTGTGCAGTGATTTTGCCCAGAGCAGCCCCGATCCTCTTCTTTTCGGGTCCCCTTCCGGCGCTCCTGACTCCTTCTCCAGTGAAGCTCGCTCTGGGGGCACCTCTGGGTGCTCATCCCCCAAACTGCTGCTGTATGCATCCATAAGACACATAAACCCACGGCTCACCCCCCTCCTCATTGGCTCACTGGCTGTGATTGACAGCAGTGGGAGCCAATGGTCTCCCGCTGCTGTCTCAGCCAATGGGGAGGAAGAGCCCTCAGACAGCAGAGGCTGTAAAGAACATTGCTGGATCGGAGAGGGCTCATGTAAGGATGGGGGGGGGGGGGCACAGAAGGTTTTTTACCTTCATGCATAGAATGCATGAAGGTAAACAACATTGACACTTTTGAACCACTTTATTGATAAGATGTGGAGCCTTCCTGAAAAATGATACTATAACATATCAGGAATTTATTCAATTAGACTTGCTACTGAAAGGTCTACTATGGTATAAGGTAATCTGAAAATTTTGTGTTCTCGAAACAGACAGTATCATTCCTCATTAAAAAACAAAAAGAGAGAACCATATAACACATACCACTTCCTTTCACTAGCACAGCAAGTAGAATAAAAATGTAGATAATGATCCTGAACTAATTAACAGATTGCCATGCCATTACAAAAACTTAGACAGACCTGAAATTCCCATCGACCTGAAATATTTGCTTTTTTCTCCACTCAGGGGAACATCTGGGACATTATGCTGCTAACAGTAGAAAAAAGAACAAAAAATAATAAAAACTCACCTTTGCCTGTATAATATCACTTTCAAGCATTACATGTGTCTATTACATCAGTGCAAAAGTTGAATAAAATTAATGTTGACCTTTTAAAAGATGGTTTCCTTTGCCAATTCTGGAGTAATTGTGTCATATTTTTATTAACCTACAACACAACTCTTTGGAATATCTCTCTAGAAAGGAATTATGGACAATGTACCTTTATATAACCCGGCGTATTATAGGATCTTCTAAATGTTCATTTTAAAGCCAAGCCATCAGGGAAAATGATATACATCAGGTACGGTCATGGTTGAAGTACAGCCATCTGTCCGTAGAGTCTAACCATTATTTTTCTTCTGACTAAATTGATATTTTTAGTGATATTTTGTTCTGACATATGGTGGTTATAATGGCATGTTATTTTCTCAGATTGATCATCACGGTCATTTATAGTAATATTCTGTATCCTTGGCTGAATTTTAATACTCATCATGTCTCAAAATGAGAAGTGGGTCAATAGTTCACAAAAATATGGTACATTAAGGGGTCTACTTATATGGGTGGAAGAACAAATATTTTTCTGTTTCACCACACTTGGTCTGTTTTTGCAGCAAAATGTTGTCCCCCTTAAGTTTATAAAACTTTATATAAAAAGTTGTTAGGGAAAGGTAAAAATAAATAAAAAAATTGGAATTCTCTAAATTAATCAGTCAAAACCAAAAAAAAGTCAATTTTTGAAAGGCTTCTTTCATTTAACCTGCTGGTAATCATGGATTGTGCTAGGTTCGGAGGGTCAACTGTTGGCAAAAAAAAAAAAAAAAGGCTATGTTCTTTATTGCATAAAAAATATTGCAGTCAACATGTGACAAAAAATAGACAAAAAAAATTGGGCTAAATGTAAAAAAATCATTTTCCATTTTCAAGTATACATCATATTTTCAAAAAATGTTGACGCCTGACTTTCAAACCTACCATATGGCACAAAGTATAAACACCCCTTTAAATGATTGATTCCAGTTATTCTTCAGTAAAGGGTACTGTTGAAGCTACAGCATACAAAGTCATTATAGATAATTGTGCGCTTTCAAACTTGTGGTGACAGCTTAGACCCCATTCACACCTGAAGGAGAACAAAAAATCAGTTATTCTCTATGGAGATGGCTCACATCTCAACTACAAGTCACCCGAAGCACAAAAAAGTTCCGGAGCTTTTTTATAGCTTGAATGGGGCAGATTAGTGTGTTTTTGAAGCATTCTGATTCCCAAAGAAATACATAGAAGCGCGCAAATTGCACATTTAAGAACGTTTTTTCTGCACATTTGAAAAGTTACCTTCCAGCAGAAAATGACAAAATGTTTACAGGAAGTCACAAAACAGCCATTTTGGCACCAGGCAAGATGGAGGAGACACTCTCCCTCTGTGCTCCAGTGCCCTTTATTCACAAAGTGAAGGAGCACCCCTGTCTATATGACCCCCAGGACTCGCAATACAAGAGTCGAGCCAAAAAGAGAATGGCCTGGGAAGAGATTTGCCAACAAATGTTTCCTGATTGGGAGGAATACACAGGAAAGATGAAAAATTAAGTTTTGCAATTGTTTTGCAATCTTTTTGCATCTTGTTAGCAATGCTATGCCTCTGGTTGCATTTGTGAAGTGGTTGAAACCTGCTTATTAGTTTAGCATACACTCTGCTGCTAGAAATCCTGGGGCCCCATACTGCCTAATTGACAGCCTCCCCTGGAAAACATAGCCAACACATTTTTTATATGAATAAATTATTTAAAATCTTAAATCTTTTTAAAAATTCTTCTTTTTTTCTAGCTTGCTGTTGATTTTACAACCAAAAATGAATAGTGCAGACTAGCCAATGATTGTTTGGTTGCTAGGAACCTAAAAAAAAAATATGTATATATATACTGTAATAGTTAAGATCCTAAAAATCAAATGGATAATTCTGGGGGATGCTTACTCTCATCACCAGTAACTGTTAGGAAACGTTTTAAGGGGATCTGTTGCCTGTCCTCAAGCAGACTATATGCACACTAAATAAATGGAGTTCCTGAGGCCAATTGTGGCAATGGGGAGGTAAGCTAGCATCTGCAATTATGTATGTTGTAATATACTGTAATTACTGTATATAGCTGGTATGATCTAACAGAAAATTTATATTTACAGCATGGAGGTTTCTTCTACAATTGATAATCTTAAACCAGATGAAATCAATGGAGAAAGCGAAAGACAGGCAGCCCAAATGAAACTCAACACCTTGTGCAGCTAGAGGGAGGACAACAGAGACAGAATTCAACCGTACATTGGACATTTTAGCCACTATGGAAGACCAAATTAATGGAAAACCGGCTTGAGGAACAATATTAGTAACAATCTCTGGAGATATTTATGGGTAGAGTTCCCCTGGAACTCAA